CATACAGTGGTTGAGAATTAGTCACAAGTCACAGCAAAAATACTACAGAAGGCAGAAGCTCCAGACAGTATCATTAAGCAAACGAAACAGGCAAAGGCTGAATAACGGGGCGGTCCTGCCCACCAAAGAGAACAGTTACATTTTAAAAATCCAACCTTTTAGACATGCTTGAACATGAACACAAAATTGAATTAAAGAGAGACAATTAAGAAACGCAGCAGAGGAGTGGAGAAGATTTCTTAAAGTATTCTGAAAGGAAAACAAATATACATGTGCATCTCTCCATGAAAACCCTTTGACTACTGACTGTCGTTTTGGCCATGGGTTCCCCTGACCATGTGATCAACCAGGTCCCAGGACTCATGTTAATTTTCCCCCTTAATCCCAGATCTAATTCCCTGTCTTGCATTCATTAGCTATAATTTAATAGAGGTGAATTGATCAGTACAGCGCTGAGTACACAGCAAGTGGCATGTAAGTATTAGCCCTGGGGATGCCCCACCATACTTATCTAGGGATAAGTTCACACAACATGCAGTAACACAAGTGCCTCTGGGCCAAGCCACGGGGGTGGATCCACACCCACTTACTGGTACTGGTCATTGCTCATTCTTCTATCCATATAGGCTTAATCTTCCAAAGCCTACATTTAAAAAAAATTTTTTTTATTTGGGTGGCCACACTTGACAGTGCTCAGGGCTTGCTTACTCCTGACTCTGTGTTAAGGCATCACTCCAGGTGGGCTCAGGGACACTTTGAGGTGACAGGGATCAAAGGTGGGCCAGCCACATACCCAGTAAATGTCATAAGCCTTGTATTATCTCTCTGCTCCTAAATCAAATGTTTTAAACTATTCCTGTCTACAAGTCTTTTATTAATTCACGTATTTTTTTTCCTATGCCAGTTCTCTATGGCATTATTTGACTAGATACACTGAAAACTTTCTGACAGATCTCACAGTCTTTGTTACCAAACTTCTACTGAATTTCTAACTTTACTCAGTTTACCTCTGCTCCCTATAGAATAATTTCTATGGGGGCTGGAGAGACAGTACAGTGGTTAGAGTGTTTGCTTTGCACACCAGCAACCTGAGTTCAATCCCCAGCATCCCTTATGGTTCCCTGAGCCCCACCAGGAGTGATGAGTGCAGGACCAGGAGGAAGCCCTGAGCACAGCCAGGTGTGGCCCCAAAATAAAACAAAACTTAGAAGACATGAATTTTCAGTTGTTGCTAATATTGCCTTAGTGTTTAAATATGCTTTCTGCTTATAATTAATTTTATTTTCAATTATTTATTTGAAAAATGTTCTCAGGAAATCTTGCAGGGTTTGATCTCTGAGGAAATTTTTGGAATTCACTCTTGGATACTCAGGAAAATAGGAGATTTCTGACTAAAACAGAAGAATGAGCTTCTAAATTTGTAGAGAAAATGGTGAGAGGATAGTAGGGTAATTTTTCTACTTAATAACAAACATACATTCTCCACTTTTAACCATTTTCTTATTGTGAGAGAATAAGTGGGATTTTATAACTGTGGTTGTGAATGTTTTGGGCCATTGACTGATGCCAATAATGCTGAGAAGAAGTGTAAAAAAGAGAAGAAAATGCTAATTCAAAATGTGTGTGCAGTCCCAATTCAAAATACAGTAGTTTTCAAAGTTTATAGGCAAGGAGAAAGTCTTTACATAACCATGAAAACCACACAAAAATGCTTAAGATTCTAAACTGACTTAAGATGCAAACTGGAAAATGATATAAAACTTATATTTTAGAATCAGTAGAATGTTAACAATTTTTCCTGGCCTGAAACTTCACCTTTTCAATTCAGTACCTCAAGATATTCAGTCTAAATGCTCAACTGAATATAGTAGTTTGAATGTAGTTGACTGATAATTTTGAAGTATCACATCGTATTTAATTAAAACTTTATAAGACATTTGCTTTATATAAAAATTACAAATTCCTATCCCTTTCAAGAAATTATCTTTATAAAATTTCTGGATATCTTGCATTGGCTTCACTATTATTTAAATTCTCAGTTTTCTCCTTCTATGTTTCAATGGGAATTAACAGTTATTTAATGTTTTCAAAGTGTTTGGGGGGCTACACCTGGCAGTGCCCAGGGCTGAATCCTAGCTCTGCATTTAGGGAAACACATGGGGTGCCAGGGCTCCATCCTGGGTCAGCCACATGCAAGTCAAACACTTTCCCTACTCTCAGCCCTTGGAGTGTTTTTAATCACCTGGTCTTCCTTTTGCTTCCTGTTTTTGGGAAACCCAGACTATTGTTTTATTGGTTATATATGACTGTATACAGTCAAAAAGACCTGAATGTGAAACGCAAGTTACTGTGACAAACCAAGAAAATAAAAACTTTTCTTAATAGTTAGGAAGGGGCTGGAGCGATAGCACAGCGGTAGGGCGTTTGCCTTGCACGCAGCCAACGTGGCCGACCCGAGTTCGATTCCTCTGCCCCTTTCGGAGAGCCCGGCAAGCTACCGAGAGTATCTCGCCCGCAGGGCAGAGCCTGGCAAGCTCTCCATGACCTATTCGATAAGCCAAACACAGTAACAACAAAGTCTCCAATGGAGACGTTACTGGGCCCGCTCGAGCAAATCGATGATCAACGGGAGGGCCTTTACTTTACTTACTTTTAATAGTTAGGAAGAAGAATGGGGCAGGGGGAAGCTGAATTACTAAGGTTTGACCAGAAATACAGTACTTTTCAGATGAAATAATGGGAAGTAACTAGAGATATGTGAAAGCGGAGATTTCTGGCCTGAGTCTGAAGAAGTATTATATAAAAAGTCCTTTTTCCTGTTTTGTTTTGTGTTTTTTTATGGCATACAACTACATATTTTTCGGACTCTTTGGTCTCCAAAAAAGTTAAATCCTAAGGTTAACACAAAAGTAACCTAAAATCTTAATCCTCTATAGTTGTCTTCTCCCTAGTAGAGATTTAATGGGCTTAGTTTAATATAAAAATGAAAAAAAATGGATACCCCAGGGAAATTCTTTTGGATATACTTATACTATAAAAGATCTTTTCATTCACTCATTCAGCAAATGTCTCTCAAGATTGCCTGCTGGTGGTTAATAAACTGACAAAAGGGGATTCAAAGTGTCACATCTTATGAAGAAGAGAGAGAAAAGAAACCTTCACCATCAGAAGAAAGTCACATCAAGAATTTTAAAAATTCATTTCTAAATGTTAATGGTAAAATCTAGTCTCTGGATATTGACGTCCAAATGGAAGATCCTGCACTCATAATTCTAACAGAACGTCCATCTTAGAATCTTGTCCGTTTTTACTTTCCTTTATTCCAGGAGAAAAGAGATCATCCATAAGCTTTACTGATTGAGTTTACTGGCTGTCAGAACTTGAAATGAAATCTGTGTTCAAAACCGAGTCTGAAATAAGAATATACCGATCTTCTGTTTGAAATCTCATGCTGTAGTCTGGGTGGCTGCATTTTCAATAAACGATAACACCACTTTTAGCTGCCCTCACTTGAGTGTCAATTAATTGGCAAGGTAAAGGGAACAGTACCTCATTTTGTGGGGGCTACTTCCAGCAGTGTTTGGGGGACCATGCAGTGCTGGGAATTGAACCTGAGGTCCGTTTCCTCGGGCAGTGCCTGCACCCCTATCTCCTTGGTGACTCAATTTTCAGGCATATATGTATTCATTCAGATCTAGTACTGGACACATTTCTGTGCCTAGAATCCCCATATCGCCAATTGCAAACCCTTATTCTCAATCATGACAGTGACTGTAAGATGTGTTTGTCTGAATTAGCCTCAGATTTTCGGTATTATTTCGTATGAAAGAAGCTTCCATCTCCTGTCACTTCAACTTTGTCCAGGGGTAATTTTGTTTCATTCATCTGACTTCAAAATGATTACCAAATATATTGAGAAAGTAATGGTGCTATTATACAACTCTAAGTATTTATACAATTCTTGAAAGAGAACACCTATAAGGCCAGGCAGATTGTACAGAGGTTAAGATGCATGTTGCAACCCACACTGAATCCTGGCCACCAAGCAGCTAATGACATCTTGGCAGTATCTTTAGATTTAGAGAACTGTGTAATAAATACAGATCCTCTTCAGTTCATTTTTGAAATAGGGTATAAACACTACTCCTGTCTTATAAATGCCTCTATCTCATTTGATGGGATATGGTTATTATAAATACCCTATATATCTGGGGGAAACCAAGGAGGTTCTGCTCCTCTGAATTCTGTCAGAAGTGATCCCTGAGCACAAACCAGAAATAAACTTTGAGCACTACCTGGTGTGGCCCCAAAAACAGAAGGAGGGAGGCAGGGAAGGAGGAGAGGCTGAGAGAGAGAGACAAAGAGAGAGAGAGAGAGAGAGAGAGAGAGAGAGAGAGAGAGAGAGAGAGACTTTGGATCTTGCATTCTCAGAAGGTACAGGTGCTCTCATTTGATGATGTTTTGTTAATAGAATCCTGTGAAATAGCCTAAGTATGACAAGTTAACCTTATTTAGATGCAAAATATAAAAGCAAACATACTACTAGCCGTTTGTTCTTATTTTATGCTAGAAAAACTGGTACTGGACTTAATTGTCCAGATTTTGAAAATTTTAGATCTCAGAACTTATTTCACTTTGCAATAAACTAATCACACTGGAAAACGGCCAAACCAGACTCTATAATCAGGCATCCTCGAGCAATCTGCTCACCCCACTTTGGTTCTGCATACAACTCTACAAACTCCACAAACAGGCTTTCTAATGGAAGAGATCAACGACTTTAAATGGTATGCAATTTTCTGTCTTTCAAAGTCCCTTTCCACACTGACAGACAAATGCTCCATGAAGTAAGCCAACATTTCGCTTTCACAGCCACAGTACCATTTGCCTTCAATATAAACAGAATTCATTTGCGATGATGACTTTTCAAATGAGATGATCAAAATTATTCCATTAAAACCAAAACAAAGGCATTTTACGTTCTTACATCTTTATTAAAGTATTCATTTTAGAAGGCTGACTCAATAATAACTCATATTTTTTATATCACAAATTAACCTACAAGTAGCACATAATAAACATGGCGGACTTACCTCAGAGATGGCCTGAGCTTCTAACACCACTACACTGATTTACACAAATAGCAAAAACCACACAGGGAGCAGCTATTGACAGCTTGGTAGTATCTTTAGATTTAGAGAACTGTATAATAAATAGAGATCCTCTTCAATTCATTTTTGAAATAGGGTACAAACACCACTCCTGTCTTATAAATGCCTTTATCTCAGTTGACGGGATACGGTTATTATTAATACCCTATATATCTGGGGGAAACCAATATTTTGTATTGACTCCACAAAGAAGGCTCAACAGCAAGCAAAATGAGGAGTCATTATAAAATCACACTGAGTATTTCCTGAACTCACAATTCTGCTTATGTATGTAACTGTGCCAATCACACTAACGCTTACTACATAATAGATCAAGATAGATCCAAGAATATCCTTTGGTTGCATTAATATCAGGACACTAGGACCGAAGATTCATTCTCTGGCTTTTTGGTTCAATCGTATTAAAAAAAAAAACTATCTGATTATCCCAATTTGGGGACCAATATCACAAACCATTTTGGTGACTTGTGGCCTCAGCTGTAAGAATCTGAAGACTGGCAGTGTTGCAGGTAAAGTAGTTATCATTAGCAGAGTCACTTATGTTTATTAGAAATCAAGATTCATTAAATCACTTCTCATTCAGAAAAATAGCTTTAAAATGTGTATATTTTCAAATGTTCTTTTTTTTAAAAGAACATATAAAATTAAAGATTTTTGTGAAAATAAACCAGTTTTAAGTACATGTTTTTCTTCATTTTTATCCTGTCAAAGGAGTTCTTCTCACCAAGCAAAAATGTGCATATCTTTAAAGCAAAACAAACTCCTCCGTGCTAAATCGTTTCAATCTTTTCTTTTCTTCCTCCGAAAAAAGGTCTTCTTCATTGGCGGTAGTAGATGTGAAATCATAGTCTCTTGAATGACCGTTCACAAAAGTAAACAAGGGATATTTCTCCTTAGAAGAAATAGTCAGCATCTGTAACAAAAGTAGAAGAGACCCCCTTTATTGGATGTCACATGCCCAGCAAGACCACCTGGTGAAATCAAATGTTTCAGCTAGGAATCTCTCCTTAGATTTTCGTGTATACTTGATGAAATTACTCTATAGGTCTGACAAAAAAGACAGTAAGTTCCTCAGCTAAATAACTGTTTCTCCATTAGGATAAAGCCCTCAAAAATAAGAATATTATCACTCCCGGGTCAAAGAAACAGTGAAGCAGGTAGGGCGTTTGCCTTGCATGCAGCTGACCAGGTTTGATCCCCAGCATCTTATATGGTCCCCTGAGCCCTGCCTGTCCCTGAGCTCAGAGCCAGGAGAACACCTTAAGCACTTCCGGGTGTGGCTCAAAAACGGTCCTCAGTAACCACCTTCACAGTAAGTCTTCTAGTCAAATTAGTTCAAAAACTTTAAATTAAAAAGTTAAGTTGCTCTCCTTTTGGTAGTAACAGACGATGCAATAAACTGGTTTCTCAACTTCAATGAAGCATGGTGAAGATTTCTGTACTGTAACAGAGGATAAGAAGCAAGCAACTGAGTCAGAAGGTCCATTCTAACCTCAGTTTCACAATTTACCCTGAAAGAATCTGAAATCACTACCTGGGTGTCACTGAAAAAGTTAAAAAGAGCCCAAACCTTATCTTAGAGCATTCTTGAAATGATCAAAAGCAATAACAAAAACTTACTTTTAAAAAGTTTGGGGTGCTTTTAAATTACTTATTGATTTTTCAGATTCTGGCATTTGGACAACTATTTCTGCAATCATAAGATCAACAAGGAAAAGAGGAGAGTGTGCGTTTCTGTCGCTTGGGGCCGCATCTGGCAGTGCTCAAGGACTGTTGGTGCTGGAGGCTGTTCTCTGGGCCCACCCGCACACACAGCCCGTGCTGCAGCATCTGAGCATCTCTGTCTCCCCACAACAGCGTCCTAACACGCAGTAGTAATAATCCCCACTGGACACACCTTCTGAAGTCACACTGCATGACTTAAAAGTGGAAAAGGCAAGACCTAGAATTCTGCAGGCAACATCCACAGCCTTTTTTAACCTCGGTGGGTCTGGGACTCACCAGCTCCAACAGGGTGGGGCTGGTGACTTTTGTGAGGCCTCGGGTCTGAGCCCCAGCACCACAGAATCAATCAATAAGGCTAATGATAACCTATTAACAACACCGATGCATAGCATGCCGGAGGAGAAGTAATTTTAGAAGAGATGAAAATTAAAATGCCTACCTCAGTCTCGTTATATGAACTAGAAAACTGAGGCCCAAACCATTTCTATCATTTTCCCAGAATGACATAATAATAGCAACAACAACAACAAAGAGATAAATTAATAATGAACTGATGAGATATTAATTCATGAATCAATGACTTGTCCGCATGCCACATAAAACTTTCTCCAGCTCTACATATCGTAGTAAAACGTTTTAGGGGTTGAAGAGATGGCATGGCAGAAAGGGCGCTTGTCTTGCCCTTTGATCCCCAGAACTCCACATGGTCCCTCAAGAACTGTCAGAGTTAATTCCTAGAAGAATAGAGCCAGGAGTATCCCCCCAAGCATCCTGGGTGTGGCCCCAAACTGAATAATAACAATAATAGTGAAAATAAAGTGCTTTAGATACTTTTTATAAAAGGATAACTGCTGCTTTCAAATTTTATTGTGAAAACTTTTATGAGAAAGTAAAAAAAAAGTTTTCCCTTTTGTCTTTTTTTATTTGAGGGGCTGGGGCAGGGATGGGGGGAGCACACCTATTTGTGCTCAGGGATCACTCCTGGCAGGGCTCAGGGATCCCTTTTGTGATGCTAGAGGTCACACCTATGTTGGCTGCATGCAAGGTAACTTATCTCTCTGGCCCCAAAAACCATGTTCACTTTTCATAAGAAAGAACACACCAAAATTTAAAAATTTCTCATAATATATAAAATCTAGTTTTAAAAAATCTACATTAGATTATCTCTGACATGGTTTATAATCCACTTAAAGACTATACAAACTTTTTTAAATTAAAATTATTTAATAACTTTGTGATATATATTATTTTAGTTTGGGGGGGCTACATGGTCTACAGACAATATTGAACCTCTGTCCTCCTGTTGTTCATCAATGTGCTCGAGCAGGCCCAATAACGTCTCCATCGTGGGACTTCGTGTTACTGTGTTTGGCATATTGAATACTCTCGGTAGCTTGCCAGGCTCTCTGGGAGGGGCGGAGGAATCGAACCTGGCTCGGCTGGGCTGGCTGTGTGCAAGGCAAACGCCCTACCGCTGTGCTACCACTCCAGCCCTACTGAACCTCACTTATGTTAAAATAATTTTAAATGAGTTTTAAAAGTCTAGGCAAAATGAAACAAAATACCTAAGTTATCTAAATGAAAGATTTGGCCCTTTAAAAAAATCTTTTGTTCAAATGAACAAGTATTTCCTATAATTAGAAAAAACAATTTATAAAGATGAATGAATTTATTATCTTGGTTGCTTTTTAAAAAGTTTCAAAAGTGGTTGGTCTGCTTAACAATACTTCAAAATAGGCCATTTATCTTCTATTATACAACATAACAAAAGAAACACTGAGGCAATTTTATTATCTAAAAAGAAAATGATAATTTATTTTTCAAGAGGTCAAATATTTTTGTTTTGGTTTTGGAGCCATACACAACAGTGCTCAGGGATCCCTCCCGGTGGTACTTGGGGACCATATGTGGTACAAGGGATCAAACCTAGGTCGGCCACATGCAGGACAAGCACCCTTCCCGCTGTACTATCTCTCTGGCCCCAAAAGGTCAAATATTTTTATTACATTTTCCCTATCTGAAAATTTTCAGAATTTGAAAAAAAAAAGAACACACACACACCCACACACAACTGAGGGACATCAGTTGAACAAATTCTTCCTTCACAGAGCCCATGGTTATAAGGGTTATAAGCACAGATCCAGATCCAGGAGATGGATCCCAAACCCAAAACTTCTCCAACTAGTTTCTCTGTCACCACATGTGTAAAACTGCATCTGGCAGGAAGCAGTCTAAAGTTATATGGTCTAAATCCACCACAGTGGGGCTACAGTTTATGTGGGAGTTAGGTGGTAAAGTCAGTCCATAATGTGAAAACTAAATGTAGTTCAAACCAATATAGTCAACATTACCCTCAAAATCTGCATAATTGCATGTATACTACCATTCAGTAGCATAACACGTTTAAAAAATAAAAACGCATCTAGAATATGCCACGGAGATATACGCCTAGCCATCTCATTTATAATCCCATCAAAATAAATTAAATGTCTTGAAATAAGTTTAAATAAGGAAATGAAGAGTCTACATACTTAAAATCATTGATATTGATGAGATACTGCAGATACAAAGATTTTTTTTATTCGTGGATAAGAAAAATTAACATCACTAAAGGGGCTATATAATAGAAAGCAACATGTAGCTTCCATGCAGGTGCAATCCCCTTCAAAATTCAAACAGCATCCCTCACAGATATGGAGCAACAAATGACAAATTGCGTTTGGAACGATAAAATGTCCCAAAGAGTGAGAAAAAAAAAATTCTGGGGGCGTGGAAATGAAGGCATCACATTCCCAACGCCAAAGTCAACTTCAAAGCAATCGGACAGCAACGGGGAGGGGAGACATGCTGTTGGCCGGGAGAAGCCGGGGCTCAACCCCAGCACCAAAAAGCCCCAATGCAAACAGAGAAAACCATATGCAGCATAGTACAGAAATGAAAACACACCGATTCCTGGGATGGGCCGGAGAGCCCAGAAAGAAACCCGCTCAGACAGGGACAACCCATCTCTGGCCAAGGACAGAAGAGGAACTGCAGAGCGGAGCGGGGCAAGTCGCTTGGGTCAACTGTGACTGGAAAACTGAAGAGGCACGAGCAAAGTCACACGAGGTCACCACTCAACAGCGTGCACACACACAAAAAGAACTCAACATGGAGTTCAGTCCTGGAAGGAGCCAGAGGGATCACTCGCAGGTTGCACGCAGGAGGCCTGGGTTCATCCCCAGCACCGCAGGATCCTGAGCACCAAGAATAACCTCTGGGGTGGCTGGAGCAATAGCACAGCAGGTAGGGTGTTTGCCTTGTATGTGGCCGGTCGGTGATCAATTCCCAGCATCCCATATGGTCCCCTGAGCACCACCAGGAGTGATTCCTGAGTGCAAAGTTAGGAGTAACCCCTGAGCATCTCTGGGTGTGACCCCCCCCAACCAAAAAAAGAATAACCCCTGAGCACTGAGGTGGCAGTAGCCCCTGGGCCCTACCAGATATCATACCCAAAATAAACAAACGAAAATTTAAAAGCAGGAATTCCATTCTCTCTAGTTATCCCTAGGCTAGAGCGATAGAACAGTGGGTAGGGCGTTTGCCTTACACGCAGCCAACATGGTTGACCTGAGTTCGATTCCTCCGCCCCTCTCGGAGAGCCCAGCAAGCTACTGAGAGTATCTCGCCCGCACGGCAGAGCCTGGCAAGCTACCCGGGACGTGTTCGATATGCCAAACACAAGTAACAAGTCTCACAATGTTACTGGGTCCGCTCGAGCAAATTGATGAACAACGGGAGGACAGTGACAGTGACAGTTACCCCACTTCTGGAATAACCCCACTTTTTACCCCCCCCCCCAATTACAAACACTCAAACTCAAAAATATGTAACCTACCACGTTGATTGCAGCAGTATTTACAATAGCCAAAAACTGGAAACAATTTTTGGGGGGGTCGTGCGAGACCAAAAAGGGGCCTAAATCCACAAAAGGTAAGTGTTCTACTACTAATCCACATCCACAGCCCTCTTTAAAAAACCTAAGTATCCACCTGCCTATTGAGAAAGGACTGAATAAGAAGTGATACACACAATGGACCACTCCTTCTTCTCTCTTTATGTCCAGATAGCAAGAATATGGAGCTCTGGGGGCCGCGCGACACATTATAAGACACTAAATACCCATCTTCCGGAATTGCCGTACCATAT